CTTAAAGTGCATCCAACCCTGACACATTGTTTCCAGAGTCCAATGCTACCACAGGATCCGCACTGGGAGGGAGGTCCAGTGAGTCCCCTACTCTGATACCCATCGCTTAGGATACAATCTTTTGAAAACAGTGCCACTGACTGGGCATGTGTGACATTTCTGTAACTGTCCTCTTGGGAGACTAAAACAGGAGGATTTGAGGTTAGCATGGGGTACATAGTGAGACTCTGTCTAAAAAACAACTACAAACACATCCCCCAAATTAAAGTGATAGTAACAAAGAAACAAAATTAGACTGCAGCTGGGTGCATCCTACATGCCTGGACACAGCTACTCAAGCCTGCGGGAGAAGGATTATTTGAGCCCAGAAGTTTGAGATCAGTTGGGGCCATATAATCAGATCCTATCTCAGAAAAACAAAGCAGAAACCAGCGATACCACCTCATTCTTTTGTTTTGATTTTTTGTGTTTTCGAGACACGATTTCTCTGTGTAGCTTTGGAGCCTGTCCTGAATCTCGCTCTGTAGACCAGGCTAGCCTCTAACTCGAAGAGATCCGCCTGGCTCTGCCTCCCAAGTGCTGGAATTAAAAATATGTGCCACCACCACCCAGTTCCATTCTTAAATTTAAGAAGCCCCTCCAAAAAGATAAGCCCTGTTCATAACTTTAAAAGTGCAGTTCAAAACAGTAGGTTTTTGTTTTGTTTTTTTTTTTTTCGTAGCAATCTCTGACCATGTCTGGTGTTGGCACGGTCATGGCTTTGGCCAGTTTGAGTAGCTACTTGTCTAAAAGGCACAGCCTTTTGGAAAAACGTCTGTGGGCCGGTGAGAGTTCATCAATGGGTGAAGATGCCTAGACCAGGCCTGTGGACCTGAGTTTCATCCCTGGAACTCACATAAAGGTGGAAGGGGAGAGCTAACTCCATGGTGTCCTCCATACGTGCCCCTTGGCACACGAACAGGCCCACATATATACATCATGTGCACACGTGTACAATAGTAAAAACGTTTATTTTAAAAGGCAAGTGTGCATATCCCCCTCCCCCGCCCCGCCGCCCCAAACTCCAATTCTAGGAATCTATTCTATGACTATACCTGGCCTAGAATGCAAAAATGTACTTGGGAGGATGTTTATTGCGAATGTTTGTGATTCTCATAAGCTAAGGGAAAACGGATTGCTGAGCACTAGCCCCTATCATATATCTATGCAAAGAAATAGATTCCAGTGTCTGACACGAAAACTGTGGGAAATGTAAGAAGTGGTAACTCGTCCCTGGACGAATCATATAATGCCTTTGTTTACACAGAAAAGTCTGGAAACATACACAAAAACAGTTAGAAGTGGTTAGTTCTCTCAGGGAAGTGGGGACGGCGGAGGGAGGGGCCCATCTGAACTCTAGCTCTTCTGTATTGCTTAAATGTTTTTCTTCCCTTTCCTTACTAGTTTCTTTATCTTGAACCATGAGTAGTTATTATTTTATAATTTAAAATAATGTTAAAGTATAATTAAGGGCCCTCGAGATGGTTCAGTATGGGAGCTTGTCACCAAGCCTGATGACCTGAGTTGGATCCCTGGAACCTACATGATGAGAGAAGAGAACCAACTCCCACAAATTGTCCTTTCACCTCCACACACGTGCTCAGGCTCATACACCCCCACATTCCCCCCTACACTAAGTAAATAAGTGTAAAAAATTTTAAGTAAAAATAAAGACATAATGCTAACAGCTCACAGATGTGGGTTTGAACTTCAGAATGCGTTAGCAATAAATGGAATAGTCTTGAGGTTTACTAATAAGAGAGAGGTTTTTTTCAGATTTTTGTTTTGTTACAGGGTCTCATGTAGCCCAGGCTGGCCTCAGACTCACTATACAGATGAGGATGACTGCCTCTACCTCCTGATTGCTGGCATTACAGCTGTGCACCATCACACCTAAGATCATACGTTTCTATCACTACATCTGTGCCCTAATACCAGTGGGCCTTCCCGCTCTGTTTCTGAGGTTTTGGCTTAACACGTCTGTCTTCACTGTTGCTGTTTATTTGGGACAGACAGTGGACCCAGTGGACCAACGCTCCTCGGTGTCCTCAGGTGGGCCAGGAGGGGCCCGAATGTGGGGCCTTAGGTGCCTACAGAGAACTGTGCCTTTTAATAACCATCTCTAGGACATTGCCATGTACATGCCAGTGCTGGAAACCCAACAATGACAGAACAATGTCCTCTCTGCAAGAGCTCACATAAGAATCTTGCACACGGAAGACAGGGCATGGTAAACGTTGGAAGTATGCTGGAGGCACTGTGGGTCACACAGGATGGGCCACACAGGAGGGGTCACACAGGAGGGTCAGGAAGTCTGGATAGGGGAACAGAGGTACACGTGAGTCTGTGAGTGAATTGGAGTCTGCTAATCTCCAGAGAAGCAGCTGACTTGGGAAGGGTGGGCTTTATTGGGAGTAACATGGGATTAAGCTTTATGAAGGGACACTCTGGCGAGAGTGTGGAGACATCTGTGTGCGTGTGCACGTGTGCATCTGTGTGTGTAATTTTCTTAAATATACAACTATCCAGTAAAGAAAGAACAGGTGCCAGGGCCCCAGTGTTTCACCAGGGCTGGGCACAGAGGCAGGAAATAGCTATGGTTACTGACTGGGGCCCTCGGGCCTCAGAGATGTGAGAAGACAGGGTGGAGAACAGAGGGGTGGCTAACACAGGACGAAGGCATGGGTGACCTGAGGTGCTCGGTCCTCAGCAAGAGCACACTTTCCTTCTTGGCTCAGCATCTTTCCCTGGCCCCCACTTTCCTCAAAGCTCAGCCTGTCTGCCGTCTCCTCTACTGGCTCTGCTCCCGACGAGCCTTCCATGTTGAAGGCTTCAGAACCCAGCGTCCATTGCATCCTATTTCCTCCTACATGCCCTGGAGGTTCAGCCATTTCAAGGCTTTGAATTCCACCCTCAGGATGACATGCCCAGAGGTCAAATTTCGGTCCAGATTTCCCTCCTGGACTCCTGATCTAGAATCCATCTAGGTGATACATCTACTCTGATGAAAATTGGACTTTAAACTTAACACATTCTAAACAGGACCCTTGCCCACCCCTGAACGTCTATGTTCGCTGCCCCTCACCATCTCAGGGGACAAGTCATTCTACCCAGTTGTTCAGCTGCAAAACCTCTGGTCACTCGTAACTCTTTTTTTTTTTTTTTTTTTTTTTTTTTTTTTTGGTGGTGGTGGTGGTGAGTCTCACTCTGGGCCTGGCCTGAGACTTGAAAGCCTCCTGCTTCAACTTCCTGAGTCCTGGGGTTGTAGACACACCATCTATCCATGAAACTCTGTAACTTGCTTTTCGGTGCTCAGGAAATCCTGTTAGTTCTGCGAACACGAATCTATCTAGAATTCAAACACTTCTCACTGTTCCGTGACCCCTGGCCATGCTCCCGGCTACTATTTATCTTTCGCTAGTAATTTTGATATTCATTCAAAATTCAGCAGCCAGATTATTTTAAAACACGAATGAGGTGTGTCTAGACCCTACCCCAAGCCCTCCACGAAGCTTCCTCCTTTAAGACCTTACCGAAGCCTGCGGGGCTCTACAGTTTCCGCCTGTGTCCAGTTACCCCCTAGTAACCGGTCTCTGCTCTCCCAGCTCTTCAGTGGACAGCTGATACCCCGCTATCCCAGTCCATGGCTGTGCCCTCACCCCTACGGGAGTACCCCTCACCTTTGAGCTCTCCCGACCTGCCCACAGAGCTTGCCACCTCTCGGTGGCACACCAAAGGAATCAGCATTACTTCCCAAATTAGGATGCTCTAGAAAGCAGGGAAATTTGTGTGCTCTCTCTGTCTCTGTCTCTGTCTCTCTGTCTCTCTCTCTCTGTCTCTCTCTCTCTCCCCTGTCCTCGGTGTCTAGGACCCTGTCTGAATTGTAGTAGGCCTCAGGCCGAGGTTAAAGAAGCAGACCTGTGGAAAAGGCTCCATCAGAGGAAAGAGAGTATAAGAGGAAGAGGGTGGAAACCAACCTGGAGCTGGCCAGAGAGAGCGCACAGGCAGCTAGGAGCTGAGGATGAGGAAGCCCAAGGGGAGGTCGGAGCGGATGAAGAGGCAAGTTAGAGATGCTCCCGGGGAGGCTGGTGGGGGCCTCTGGAGCTTGGGAAGAAGGTTTATTGTGGCCCAAATGCCCCTGGTACGACGTAGGCGCTCAATAAAAGGGACCGCTGGCCGGAGAATGGGCTATTCTGGGGGCTGTGCAGATGGCGACTGTCACAGGGTGGACGCGACCAAACCTGCACAGCTGCAGAGACAGAACGGAACCTTCCCAAGATCTCTCCCGGGGGAAAGGCCATTGGAGCCGGGGGAAGTGACCGCGAGCGAGAACTGGAAGGTGAGACGCGCCCACGCGGGTGCGCGCCGAAGCCTCGCAGTGGCG